TGTGCCTCTCGCGAGACCGGCACCAGCAGCCACTGGAACCCTGGCTGGACGGGGGGGAGGGTGAGTGGTCCCAGCAAACAGCACTGAGCGGGGGCGGGGTCTCAGCATTGCTGGGCCCTGTCCAGGTAAAGCTGCACCAGCTGCCTGGCAGCCGTAACCCACCTGCTCCCTGCACTGCCCCTCCAAGCCAACCCCATGGGTGGAGCAGGGCCCTCTTCCAGCAGTGCCCAGGAGGCAGCTGCTCCTCCACGGCACGGGCTGTCCCACTGCTCTGTGTTTTGTTTCGCTTGTTTTGAAAAGAGGTTTTTTGCTATAGGGCACGTGCGCTAGCCAGAAAGACAGAGAGAGACAGAGACAGAAAGCAAGAAATCACCCCCCAGGGGGGATGGCCACGCTGCAATCCCTTCTCCTCCATTCTCCTCTCGGGATCTTAGGCACGCACACACACGCGCCCGGCGTGAGTTTAAGCTGTTGGGTCCGGGACTTGAACCATGTTTGACTAAGTGAGAGTCCAGCGACGTAACCATTACGCCATCTGCTGGTCCCTCCGTTGCTTAGGGACATGGATTCTGAAGGCCTCTAGTGACCTCTGGGGACAAGAAGGCCATGCCTGTGAGCTCTGTGACACACAGCTGCCTCTGCCCACTAGCTCCCAGCCCCAGCCCAGCTCAGCTGGTCCTGCCCAGGCCCCTACCCATTCCCCCTGGAGCTGTGGGCTCAGGCTCCAGCCTCCCAGGCCCGGGACAGCCCCTACGCAGCCAAACACCTGGGCCCTGTTTTATAGGAGGGCTCCGAAGGATGGCCACAGGAGGGATGGTGCAGGGTGACACCCAGGGGGCCCTGTGCCCACGCCACCTTGCTCAGGAGGGCACACTGCTCCTGCTGGCTGCACATCAGCTGTCGCCACCGGAGCCGCAGTTTTCCCATCAGCCACTGCACCTGGCGGATATCCACAGGGCCCTCCACTTCCACGTGGGGTGCAGGCGGGCCAGGACTGGCCAGGGCCTCACACTGGAGAGGGAAGAAAGGTCTGACGCAGAAACTGGGAGGGGGACACAGCAAGAACAAAGGGGGCTTCCAGTGCAGAGCTGCCCCAAGCGCCAAGCAGGGGACTGAAGGACTGGCCCATGCCCAGAGGGCAGGCAGACACCCTCCCCATCTGGCCCTCCCTCGTTCTTACCCACCTCACACACAGGCACCTGGTCACCCAGCTGCACATGGGTCTGGGCCAGCAGCTGCTCGGGCAGGGGCCCTCGGGCCAGGAGCCAGGACAGGGCCAGCAGCAGCTCCCGGCTGCCCTGCGAGCCGTCCTCGGGAATCTGTGCCAGCGCCAGCCTCGGGTAGCCCCGGGAGTGCAGCGCCAACTTCACCCAGTGGGCTCGGGTCTCTGGCATGGGAAACCAGCAGCTTTGGAGCCGCCCAGAGGAGACACCACCTGCCCCTAGAGATGGCGACAGGACCCCCATGCAAAGCCCAGCTCAGGGAGGACAATTAGGGTCAGAGTATCAAGCCTGGATGAGGACGGAAACAGCAGTTTTACGTGAGTGGGCGGGGCTAGTGCGGGCTGGTAGGCGGGGGCCGAGCCTTCCCGGGAGGAGCTTCCAAGAAGGGTGTGGCTTAAGTAGAAGAAGGGCTTTGTGGTGGGCGGGGTCAACGCTGCCCGGAGGGCGGGGTCAGGCCCTTCCGGGGCGGAGCTTTTAAGAGAGAGGATGGAACCCTATCCTTTAAGGCATGGCTCGTGGGAGGGCGGGGCTTACCCAGGGAGACCGGGGCGCCATCCCCATGGGACGGCGGAAGGACGCGGACGCAGCGCTGACCGAG